TTATCCTATTGTTCTCCTATATCGGCTCTCTCCTTGACCTTATCTTCTCTTTTCATCCTATCTTCTTCTACTTGCGTATATAAGCGTGTGCTATGTATGTAAACGATGCAATTATATGATATGAAGGAATAGACTAAAGTGTAACTCCATCCATACTATCATCGCTTCTATCAAAAATCGTCACAATATCTTGTGCACAAAGTTCGAACTCAAGATGGATTTGACAGTTGAAAACATTTCCTCGTTAGTACAGGCTATTTACGAGTTAAATCATGTGTGAGGTCCATTTTGTTTACCAAAGATAATACATGAATAAAACTACTAGATCATAGCTTGAAAGAATTTCAATGGAAGCTCTAAATTTCGTGTATGTGGAAGTCAAATTAACGATAAATTAGTCGAAATTTTGAAATTTAGTGCAGATACAAGGCAGTGTCTTTAACTGTTATTTTCTGATTTCAATAGTTTTTTACTTGTAGATATTGCATAGTTCACTAATAAAAATTCTAAGAAGAATTGAATTTCTATAGAAATTCGACTAAGTTATCGAATTTTAATATTTCTATTTTCTAGCAGTTTCTACAGGACCCAAGTTTTCAGAAAAGACGAATATTCGATTTTCGATCTGAAACTTTGTGCATATACAGAGCTCAATTAGCCTATAGCGTTCTTTAAAAAACTAAGAAGTTTTGAACAGTCTCTTCAAGATATGAGACTTTCACAGTATAGAGTGTTGTCTATAGATGGCGTAAACAACATGGAGTTTTTGAAAGCTTTGTATTTCGAAGAGACTTTGTTCAAAGTTTCTGAATCTTTTGATGGAAGCTACTCTAGTGAAGTTCTCTCTATGCACAAAGTTTTAGATTAAAATTTGATAGTACGAGTATTCAGAAAGCTTGTGATCCTACAAGAGCTTTTAGAAAATAAACATTAAAAATTCGATAGCTTATTAAAATATCAATGGAAACCGAAATCTTTTTAAGGTTTTTATTGGAACAATATGTAGTACCTATAGTACGGGTGAAGGGGCGTACTTCATTTGTTTTACTATTGTTACTCTATGCACATGTTGGTCACAGAAAATAAAACAGAGTAAATACTAGAAGAAGCAGAGTACCTCGCCTTTCGGCTACCTTGCGGTGTATGGTGTTGTCCGAGAACAGTTTCGAGAGCCCCGATATTTTCCCTACATCTATTACTAGATGTAGCTTCGGACAGGAGACTGGCCGGACTCAGGGTTCTCCCGCTTAATCACTTAATAAATCCTGGAGACAGAGTTTATTAGAATTCGACAAAGGCTCCTGAACAAAATTGAGCAGCATCCTGAGATCCTTGCAGAATTTCTCAAAAAACACACAGGATTAAGTCCAGAGTTCGGTTGCTTGTACTTCCTAAGTTCTCTCAGGCTTTCTAGACTCTTAGGTTCTCCAATCCTAGGATTCCTCGGGCCGGTAAACTCCTTCAGTTCCCTAAGTACAAATGGGTCCTTTCGAATCTTCACTCACAAGACAACCTGGCATTAATTGCGCTGCTTGAGTTCCCTGAGTAGCTGAGTTCCGAGAGAGTTGAAGTTTTGGTTGACTGTATACGTTCTTCCAACTTCAGCAGTTCTTTGACTTCATGTGTTTCAGCATGTCAACCACTAACATCACATGTGTGGTATAACTCAGTTCCTTCTCTTTTCCACGTATCAATTCACATTCACTGCTTCAAAAAATCTGCATTTATCATAGTGATTATCACTTACATTGCACCTCCAACACCTACGCCCACCAAAGCATTCATGTCATCCGCTAATTTCTGTGGCTTACCTAACCACATCCTTTTACTCAGTAAGTCCCGAAGGAACCGAACTGCCCTTCACATAAAGGCCGTTACTCTTTCGAGGTAACTCTATAGAAGAATGCTCACCGTCACGAATTGCAATCCTTCACATGAACAATTCACCTACCATCTTTCACGGAAAGTTCATCAAACTGATTGTGACCGCTCTCTGTAATATTGGCTAGTATACCAAAGGTATACAATTTACCACATTCACCGTGTTTCATTTTGAAACTAGATTCTCATTCTCATTGCCTCATCCTACTGATCACAAAAATACACGAACTGATCTATAAAAATCCTTTCTCATGTGATGTTCGATCTGCTGAGCGAGTTGAATGCTTGCTTTGAAATGAGCACAAGAGGTAAACAGTCATCTCGTGATGAACGTTCATTTGCCATGTGATGTTTCATCAGTTGAGTGAGTCACAACGTTTGGGTGGAAGTGAGAAAAAGAAGTGAACAGAAATCTGGTGATGAATGTTCGTTTGCCATGTTATGTTTGATCAGTTGATCGACTGAAACGTTTGGTTCGCAGTACGCAAAAAAAGTGCAGCAGACATCATGTGTGTTTATGCGAATTGCATTAAGATTTTTTTGCATTTTTTCACTTGGCTTGTGCAGGTACGTTTTCGATTTCAGATAAAGTAGTGTGGCGGAGAAGACAGAAGTTGGTTAGTAGATTGTGGTTGAAAGTATTCAGCACTGCGTGACAATGGGTAGCTGAAATTTAGGAGGTGGGAAGGTTTAAAGTGGAACGGAGATACAGTAAGAACAGACGATCGAAGGGGTCCAATTTCATTGCGTTGGCTAGCCACCACTTTGCGGCAAGGAGCTTCTCGGGATTTTAAGTACAGTGTTCGCTAGTGTACGGGGTTTTCGATGAGAAAAAGGTTAAAAATGCATGAACAAATGATTACCACTGAATAGAAATATTTTTAAAAGTTTCAGAACACTAAATTCTAGGAAATAATAAGTAATATGACCTGTATGTACGAAATATATATATCCTTCAATGGAGTTGTTTTATTGATTAGATCGTCGTTTTCACAAATGGAGCATATGTTCCATGTTCCCCTGTTCGCTATGTATGAGTCATGTATTTACGATTGATCCATTTCAGGCATAGACTGTTATAGATTGAAACAAGAAACAAAATATTGAGACACTATGCATTTTTAATAGTCGTAGTTTTATCATCATTGTTGTTTTCATGGTTGCAGCTAGTGTATCAGCTAAACTTGATGTCTTTCGTTGAGCTGAAGGTGAAAAAGACATTATCACGATGTGAGTTCATTAGAGCTTGGATTAATACTATCTACCATTTGAACTAGCGTGGTTTTTTATCTTTATATTGAGTAAATAAACTTCTGCTGAAATAAGAATTATTTTTATTGAATTATCATATCCGATAAATCATAAAGACAATCAAATGTATTTCATTCTTATTTTTTTTCTAATGCTTACGCGTCATGGATTATCTTTTTAGATAATTATCATGCGTTTACCTGGAACATACGTTTTATGATATTTACTTATCGACTCTTAGAATAAAATGATGCATACTTTTTGGTTTAAACTACAGCTTTTTTTTCTATGTGAACAGCGACAAATAAAGCTCAGAAATAACAATCACTTTTATCGGCCACATGTTCATGCAGTACATACGATTTCTGATAATCAAAATCTATCTTTGACAGTCTTATAAAGAACGAAATCAATTGAATGTCAAAATTGTTAAACTCTCAACCAGAGATGACATCTTGATTCTTATTAGCCACTACTTTTGTTGCAATTAGTACAAATTTTCAATCATTATTCAAGATTTCGGAATAATTTTTACTGTTATAGATGTGCGGATAACGAATACGGTACATTTACACAAGAAATCATACAGTCATGGACCATTTGTCCCTCATCAATTATGCACAATCTTTCTCTCTTAATGTTCAATTTGAAGGAGAAAAAACTGTATTTCGTCTTCTACTCTCTTCTCTTTGCTCTTGTTCACATCATTCTTCTTCTATTCTCTTTTTGTGCTATCGAGTGATAGGTGGAAACTCTTATGTGAAAAAAGAAATGGGAAAAACAAAAATTCTTACGACTATGACGAAAATAATATATAATTTTTCTTTGCTTCCTGTAGGAAATTACGGAGCAACGCTAAGCAACGACGGCAAGATATGTGTTATTCCGTAAATTCGTACAGAGATAAAAGCAAATATTACGTATTACTTTTGTCATAATCCTAAGAATTTTTCTTTTCGTCCTTTCATTCTTCGCGTTAGGGTTTCAACATATCACTATTACTATCATTAGTTGTTAAAACGATAATGACAAACAACGAATAGAGCAAAGCAATATGCCTAGTGATAACTGTGTTGATCAGCGTAAAAGTAAAAAAAAGAATAGCTTGACATAGTCCCTCTTGTGTTTCAAAACAATAAACGTGATCAAAATGACAAGAACGATTATATAATTTCTCATTAAATATATAACATGATTATGATTGTAGAGAGTAACGAATGGGATTTGGCCGATTCAGCTTTTGTGATACTATTTGCAGCTACTCAAATATTAATCGTCATTGCTACTTACAAAAACAATATTGTATTCTAGCACCTATGAATTTCCCATCCATCTATAAATACCATAAAATTTAAATTTGAGACGAATATAAAGAAAAAACCTCTCAGTGAATAACCCATTGTTGATACGTCTTCAAACTAAAGAAAGACACGTACAAGGTGTGGGTGTGAATGTGCGTGTCCTGAACGAGAAGAAAAACAGATAGACCTACACTCACATCCCACCCACCCGATTTTTGAGCTGAAGAAGTTCACGGAGTGGTATCCAAACTTATGACTCGTAGATGAATCGAAAGCTTAGATATTGTTCACTTGTACAATTGTCACTCAGCCACTGCAGATCGAAATCCAACTCCATACATGTTTGTTATGAAAATATTTTGATTATGTTTACTATGCATATAATAGTAATAGATATTTCATTGATTTGCGTTAATTGATAGTCATATTCTTTCGCAAGTATTAGTTGTATTTCTCTGAGTCAAACATAAATATCAAAGATGGGAACAATTATAAATATTTACTGTCATTAGAAAAAACAAACGACATACAGCAAAACTGTTCTTAAAAACTTCGGAATCCGACGAATTATCCGCATTCATTACGAGAAATATTCATGTTCGGATGATTTTCAGATGGTTTTGTATCTTCAAATTTTTTTTTATTATTTTCTTCACTAAGTTTAGCAAATAAAGGTTCAGTATCATTAAGTAAGGTAACAACATCAAGAAATGCTCCGCCGATTTTAACACCCAAATGTGCACAACACATATTTTCGAAAGGCCAATCACATAGTACAGTACGCATCCAATCACGAAATACATATGGTGCATCACTTGTTGGATGTAGACCATAAGTTTTAATTGATGGATGAAATGCAATTGAACCATGTTTACAACCAAGTAATCTAAATAAAAACCCAGGCTTTTCAGCATACATGATTGTATCATCAACATGAAGAGTTTGAGATGGTGAATGATAAACAAAAACACTTATGAAATGATTTGTTCCTTCAGGTTGAGGATCAATAAATTCAGCTCCTAAAATAATTAAAACAATAAGTTATTTCATATGATAATAAGATCTGTTTTTTGAGATAACCTGCTGGAATACGCATTTCAACGTCTGGTTCCCATTTTTTTCTAACTGTACTATCCTTAAGATCTCCAGTCCATGGAATTTCAGTTAATCGACGTAAATGTCTTGGTGTACCATAATAAGCTGCTTTTGGATATGCTTGATAAAAAGCTGCAAATGATAATGTATGAAATGGATGGACACCGATAACAGCTTCAATATTTTCTCCATGATTTGTTAAATTATCAATTTCTTGTCGAAGACGATCATTCATATCAATTGTATCAATAATAAGAAATTTTCCATTGCGCAATTGTATTATTGACATTTGTGTTTCAATATCAATCACTTTTAAAACTCTAAAGTGACCTCGAACATTCCAAAAATTAGGACCAATTAAATAAAGTTTATTTTTATCAAGTTTTCGCGCAACATTTGGAGTTCGAGCTAACATAGCTGAAGACATTTGATGAACAGAAGAAAAAAATGATCTGAAAAGAAGACTTGATAAAACAAAAATTTTTATATTTTTTAAATTTCTTAAGAATCTTTTCTTCTACCATCAAGTAAAAATCGGTAATAATGATTCGCTCATATATAATACAAGTTATGTAAGTAGACACAACGTTTAACGTATTGTGTTGAAAGAAAGCAATATTTAAGTGATTGCGCAGTTCCATAATGATGCATAAAAAGAAGAAAAATCATAGAAAAGAACGAACAAATGTTTTTTTCTGACCTATCTAAGTAAACAGCTAACTACTTTTGATATTGACTAAGGGAATTCAAAGGAATCAAAACTATTTTAGTGTATCAAACAAAAAAAATATCATCTACAACAACCTAGTTGTTTACTCAACATTTTTCAAGATGTTACTTTAAATTTCGAAATCAAAGTATTAACTATGTGAAAGTGAGTAATATCGAAAAATGTATGTTTTATATGTAACTTACATTAATGAGACATGATCGAAATAAGAAAAATACGATATCACTTAAACTTCAAACTATTCTTCAAATTGCTGACGTTATATGTGTTCTATGTTTTTAGAAACTAAAATAGACTTTAGGCGATAGACAAATTCATAGATACATAAAGCGAAATAGATTGGAATCTTATCGTTTTATCTCGTTGAAAACATACTTAATGGAATCATTATGAAAACTAACAACTAGCATGAGAATTCTCAAAAACAAAGATAAATAAGTTTTGAAGTTTAATTGTCAATTTTTCAAGGAAATTGCATTTATTAGTACATTAAGAGACATCAATATTAAAAATTTAGTTTGTGTTTATTGCATAGAAGGAGCATACCGGATGCTCGTCTGATAATAATCAAAAAGCTCAATTAGTTTCAGTTCTAAGATGTCTTTTCTCAGACATTATTTCCTTTGTTGTTTTATTTGACCCAATCTCTGTTTGATCAAATTCGATCAATTTAGTAAAGACTTGTTATTATTGTTTTTTCGAATGATAGTCAAGTAAACTGATATTCACCGAACATCAGTAATTTTTAGCCTTTTTATTAGTTTATTTCATGAGAAAATTGAAAGTTTATGATCAAAGAGACAAACAAGTTGTTCCTCTTTTTTAAGATTCTCCTGATCAAGTAAATAACTATTATGTCATGTAGTTTATTCCAAGTTAGAACGGTAATAAAAGAATCGTAAATCAAATTAGGAAAAACGAGAAAAATACTCGATTCATGTTCAATATTACTAATGGTAATTCTTGCAAAATTAATGATTCTCTGTGGGTTCGTTATCTCAATAATCAAGACTTGGCAGAAACGAAAATATTTCATGTGTTCTAATTCTATTTTGACTTCACATATAATTAAATAGAAGTCGTTTTTCTTATTATTCATACGATGTGTCAAGTTGTCCAAGAAAAAAACTACATTTAAGATTGTTCTCTTAAATATCAACAAGAAAAAAGTACAATAACAAATAAATTATTTTAAAAGATGTTTCTAACATTGATATTGATGGTACAATAAAACAAAGTTAACGATATTACGGACAAGAGTATCGTCTTTATGATATTCTTGATAGGAATACAAATATGTCTTAGTTTAAAATAGATGACATTTGTTCTTCGGAAAAATTGACAAGTCGACTGATCGATATAACTGTAACCATTTAAGGACTGAGAAAAGTATTTTATCTTGTTCATACACTTCATCTTAACTATGATATTATTGTTAATCATTTGATAGAGTACCAATAGAAGAAATGTAACAACTTTAAAGCTAGAATTCAGCATGACATTATATAAAGTTATCTTAAGTGTAAATCGTATCTGGTGTACATGTCTATACGAAACATCTGTAAAGAATTCTTCTTGATTGAATCAATAGAGTAAATTTTTGAATTAAAACAAAGAGAAAGCTTTTCTTGTTTTTTTGATATTATTCAAACTCAACAAGACTGTCATTGATATTTTAGAGAATTGTTGCTTTATAATTATCAATTTGTTCTGTCAAATATTTTTGTATTTTGTTTTTTATTTCATGTCGAATTCAGGAAAGAAAAAACTTATTTTATGTTGAGTGACTCTCATTGAATCTATTATATATATATATGTAAAACAACTTAATTGAATGAAATATATAATATTTATATCTGATCCATGACAACAATTTCTTTTGTCAGTTATATCATGTTGACCAGTCTTTATATTTTCTAATTCAAATTTTGTTCTAAAGAAAAACATGAAAAAGTTTCATTTATTTTTATAAAGATAAGGATGTGAGTGTGAGTACAGATTTCCGTTGAGAGAAGACTTACATCAACACTTCTTTTTCTTCATCTGATATGATAGGAACATCTTTCTGGTATAATTGTACTAATAAATCAGTTGCTATATCATCAAGTGAACAAAATGTATTGTTTGATCATGATGTTCATCATCACTTTGTACATGTTTTGATATCGTTTGAAAGTAATGATAAATCACGATTAGTCAAATCATCACTTTATGATAATAACAATGGTGAACTAGGTCTGGTTGATGATATTATTGATGGAAATGGAATCATTACGATGTGATATACAAGATAGGATAGAATGCTTTATTATACTAAGAAAATCAAAAAGGTTTTTCTAAAATCTATTAAGTTAGATTAGAACACTTCTTGATATTTTACTATTCATCAATGGAATAGATATATGTTTGTACTTGCTTGAAATCTATTCTCTATTGAATTATATCAACCTATGAATTAAATATTATTCTGATGGTAAGTGTCAATGAAATGAGAAAAATAAAAAAGTTTATTTTCTCACTATCATTTAGGCTAAAGTATAAAAACTTCATGGATATTGTTTGCTGCGAAAAAACGAGAGTTCGTGTAAGAGACGACCTATCGTTACAGGTTCTCATGATATTGATATTAATATCATTAATTTCATTGTTACGACGAAATAATTTTGAAAGAGAATAAAACAATCTTGATTCACAACGAAAGATATTTACAAAATAATAATAGATGACAACAATTTACTAAGTGGATTCGATGTCATTAACGGTCTTGAATGTTGTTCACATAAATTCAAAAACTATTGACGCTTTTTTATTGAGAAGATGTCATGATCTTTTTAGCAATCAATCAAAAAAGCTATCATTCCTGCATAAGTGCACACGCAATCCTAGTGTAGTCTCGTAGATGCCTTCTTTTTACCATGAAGTGTTTTTTACTCTTACTCAACACCTGTCCTTCAGATTGTTATTAGTTTGAACATATTATGGGAGTTCCGTGAGCTAGAGTGTAAATCTACCTATAGCCATATAATTATTTATGCAAATTATTTAGACATTTGGATACGATCAAACTAAAATATTATTCACAAAAGTGTAGTTAAATTTGGTTATTGTATGATGCACAGTCATTTTCTATCTATTTTGCAGTGAGCGTAATGTGTAGATGTGAGTTTCAGTCTATTGTTCACATATCCCTATATCGTAACACTTATACCCCACTGAACCCACACCCACACATTTTGCATTATTCTTCACAGTTCGAATGATCATTTATTTCATTAGCTAACCATTTGAAACTGTAATCAATAAAAAAAGAAACAATGTCCGCCACAGGAATAGTGTCTATTGATAAAAACAAAATGCTTGTTTTTCATCAAACATTGCTGCATGAATGCCTAATTGACTAGATTTTCTAGAACAAAAAATCTTTTTTTTCGTGTGATATGTTCTAAAAATATAATATTTTTGATCGAATTAGTTGGAAGTATTGGCTCTTAACTCTCCTTTGAAAAACATTTGTTCAACAATGTGCCAGACTTGCTGTCCTCATCAATAATTGTCCATGAATAATTGTCTTTGAGCAATGATCACTTGCATGAAAATGTCACTCACTCTCAGCTGTTGTTTTTACAATATATACTAGTAGCAAAACATTGAGTGAGAATGTAAGTCATTTATTAATCTTCAAATTCTTAGCTATAGAATTTATAAAATAAGAAACATGTGGAAAAAATAAAATATATTTTTTAGGCTGCGTTTTTCGAAAGGAAATCTTGGATATTTAAGATGACATACTTTTTATGAAAAAAAGGTCAAGTTTCTGTTTCCTTCAAATGGATGCTGTCCCTGAATTGATCTCTCTCATACTGAAAATAAACATAGATTGGAATCATCATAGAAAACTAAGTCGACGCATCGGTGTTTCAAAATAATTCTTAGAACTTTTATTATCCTTCAAAAACTTCGCCTTGCTCCTTTATAAGGGTAGATCGGAAAGTGAATCATTCATCTTTTTTTATCATCATCTACAAATATCCCGCATATGACGACTTTATTTGCGTAATTAGAGTGGTATTCTGAGCAAATTGACTTGTCAACCTACTTGTAAATGTGATCAAAAGAAAATTATTGGAGGAAAATAAGAGTTCTAAGAGTATTTTGAAACAGATATATGTGGACTCAATTTTCTATGCTGATTATAAATATACGTTTGTTTTGAGTATAACAGTAGTTTTACAGAAAGAATTCAAATTTAGGTTCAGAACATATCGATTCTTGGATAGACTTCATTATAAATTAGTTTTCTCGGCAACGAAATCTCTTTCTACATAAACCTAGATAACATTACAAAATACTTGTCCGAAACTTTGACCTCTCCACTCATGTTATATTAGACTAGTTCCAGATGTGACTGGTTTCTACTCAATTTGTCTCGCTAAATCTGAAACAAACAGTTCTGTTAAAATTTGCATTTCTAGCACCTTATCTACCAAAGACATCAATAAAAAAACTGCATATATTTTTTCATTAATATTTGACTTAATCTTGATATATAGCAATTCATTTTCATAAAGCAGTAGATTTTTAGCTGATCCCACCGTGTCTTTATCTGTTTTTAGATTTCTGATAATCGAGTTCGCTGCACAAAACAATTCTCTTCTTCTATCTAGTACATCTTCATATAGAATAATAATTACTTTTATTGCATGCTCTCATTGAAATTATTTATTTTGTCTTTTCAAATCAACATTCACACATGGAAACAAAAAAAAAATGAAAAGAAATATCTTCAGTTCACAAACAAAAAAAAAAAGAGAAATAACATGATGGAATAATGTGTAAATGCATGAAGACACAGAGAGCGAGCAATAACGCACAATTCTATAGAGATAGCTTTCAACTATTTTTTTGCAAAAAAAAAAAGAACGAAAGAAATTTTTTTAAGTTCTACAGAGACACTTCACTTAAGACACACACACACAAGCACACAGCCCACAGAGATAGAATATAACATGGAAACATAGAAGAAGAACAAAAAACGAAATAATAAGCAATTGTGTCAAATGAGAAATTTAATGATAGATACTTCCTGAGTAAAAAATAATGAGATTCGAATGAAAGAAAATTATTGAACAAAATAAATAAGCAAATGAAGAAAGCGCATGATGATTAAGGATTGAACAAAAAAAAAAAAAACAAAATTTATAAATGATCTTCCATACTCATATTTTCTTCATCTATATCATCAAATGTTAAATCAATTATTTCATCATTTTCATCTTCGTTATCTATTTTTGATAATGATTCATGAATTATTTCTTTAACTCGACGTTCATATATATCATTTTCTTTTTTATTTTTTAAATAACGTCGAAGTATACTTAATGTTGTTTCATCTTGATGAAATGTTTTTGTATAAAGTTCACTTATAGCTGATATACATTCATTTAAATCACGTTGATTATATGATGTTATTTGTACATGACGATTCGTCCAAGTTGCATCATTATTTAAAAGTCGATTAGCATATAAAAGACAACTAGCCGCTATCATCGATGAACGGTACGATGAAAATGGACGATCTTGTAAAAGTGATAATGTACATAAATAATTTGTTAACATAATTAAACATTTATATTCATTATCATTATCATGAGTTGATATTGTTGGTTTAAAATATGTTAAATAATATTGTATAAATGTGTAACAAGTCGGTCCAGAAAGAGAAAAATTAAGCATCTAGAGAAAGTATTTCATAATAAAATTGTAAATTTCAAAATCATGAGGCTAATACTTTTAACTAGTCTTTATTTAAATCATCGCAATCTTTTAATCAATTTTCTATAGTATTAGTACTGATAATTCACCGAATATTCACTGTCTTCTATAAACAGTAACTAAAAAACGATCATCTCAAAGTCCTCAAAATAGAAAACATAATTCAAGATTCATGTCTTATCTTTCTGCTTATAGAGGTTCGCTAAGTATACGTTTGCTAACGGCTGATGACACTCGAATGTCTTTTCTATTACGATAATAGATTCACCTATTTGATAATTCATTTTCTTCTCTATGTATTCAGTTACTTCGTCATATGTTTTATCATCATTATATGCTTTTATATAAATTCAATTTGAAAAAGCAATATTATTTTGAAATGTCAAAATTTGATTGATTACTGGGTCAAGCCCAAAAATAAGATTATACTGGGACCCAAACTAAACCGATGATTTTACGTCTTACTAATTAGTCAATTTATTAACAAGTATCTTATTTAGATTTTCTATGCAGAAAAAAATCCAACATCAAATTAATTTTGCAAAAATTGTAGTCACTAGTTTAATTTTTTGATCACAAGAAAATTTAATATTCTTTTTATTTTTCGTTAAACAATGTTTATTAATTATTCTAAACTTACTTTCATAATAATTTGTTCCATACGAAGTATATGCTTTGTTTCGTATGTATTATCCGTAATAAATGAAAACTCATCTAATGCTGGTCGATACATTTCTTCATATTTTGATGCTACATACATACAAGTTGTACCTTTATTATAAAAAGAAATATAGATCGATTATATTTGTTTTTTTTTAATTTGAATACTGACCAACTAATTGTAATTTTGATCGTGTTACATTAACTGTTGATAAAAATCGATCAACATATTGTATACAAAGAAAAAGTGTTTCATCATTTAATTTATATTCATCAGCTACTTCAATAAGCCAATCAACAAGAATTGTACGCATAGCTGAATTTATATCTGATTGATACTCCATAAAGTTAACCTCTTAATTAACAGACAAAAAGATTTAGAAAGTACATATATTTAAGAAATACTTACTAGGAGCATAAATATGTTCTACTGATTTTAAATGTTCAAAAATTGATTGACGATAATCAGGTCTAGATGTAAAAAAAGTAATCATATTGTTCAAGTAATTGATTTCTAATAGAGAATACTATCAAATACGAGAAAAGTCCTTCAACTGACAAATCACTTGACTCTGTGCGTCAAGTTTTTCAATTTGCTTCTATCCTGAAATAAAAACACCGAATCCGCCAGTTTATGTGAACGATAGAAACGAAAGCTATTCTCGCTAACATTTGTTTCTATACAAAAGTTTCAAGTCAAATATCAAAAACCGATTTTTTTTTTCGTGTTACCGAGGTGAATCACGGCATTCATTTAAAAACTATCGTAAAAATGCACTGTCTCCCAAGGAATAAGCTATGAGCATAAATTCGTTTCAAGATATTCATTGCTCGTTTATGTCAATATTATGTACCTAGTCAAGCGATCGATATTTGTTTTTTCCAAGAGGGGCTCCAGCGTTTTCTTTGCTTACCAATTTCTAAACAGAAGCTTAATGTCTTCACTGAACTATAAACAATCCATAGAAACTACATTCTTAATCATGAAAAGTGTCATCTTTGATATCATATTCTAGGAATTAGTATTGACCGAATAGAGATTGATATTCCGACCACATCAGATCATATATGAGTAAAAACCGATTTACTTACAAAACGAATAAATCTTGTTCAAGTTGTTCACGAGTTTTATTTTCTTCAAATACTGTTTGTTTTGGTAAAACAACAATATTTGCTTTATGAATGGTTGTAACCATTGGTGAAATATGCATTTCATTATCAACATTGTCATTTTCTTGAAGATGTCTTTTTATTGAACGTGCTGCAGTAAGAATTTGTCGTGATGTTATTGGAATAACATTTTCTTGTTGTTGTAAAGATGCATTAGTACATAATTTTGTTTTATTTGTAATAAATATTTTATCCGATGATACATCTTTAAGTGGAAGTCGATTATGTGTTGGACGCAGTATATTTCGATTCGAATTCATAACCTTGAATAAAATAGCTATATACTTTTTTTTAATTACATGTTATTCTTACTCGAATCTTAAATAAACTGCGACTTATTGTGAACTATACTAATCGACGACGAAAAAAAGTATATAGAGAAAACAAAAGACGAACTTCTGTTTTCTTGTTCGTCTTATGATGCTGATGTACATGTGTATGTGTTTGTGTTCTTTGTCTAATAGCGCTTGTATTCTTGTTCGTCCAATGCGTATGAATACTTGGCTTTTTTTCTTTTTCGTTAACGGCACGAAAGGGTGCGCTAGTGAGCATTATACAATATCGATGCTTGAAACAGAAAATAAAGACTTTTTTTTTCTGTTTTGTGTCTTCGACAAATTATTATCTAATACAATGAAAGAAGAGATTCTCTGTAGCATATTTATGAAAGCTTTTACAATAGAATAATGATGATAAGATTGAAAATTTCTTTCCGGTGAAGTTTCATTGATTATGAAGACGACAAGTAAAATTTAACTATAAGAAATAATTGACAGGTAGGTCCAGAGATCGCCAGGATTAGGAACTTCATCAGAACACTTTTTTTTGCTAAACCTGGTCGGATTTAGAGAATATTTGTCCGCTCTATTGAGAGTTGGTAAAAAAAAAGAAAACGATAAAATCATGGAGCAAAAAGTAGATTGTGGAAGATTAGAATCAAATGATACAGAAGTTCATTCTATCCAATAAGAGTCAATATATTAGGGCTGAGATGTTACAAATTACCCAGTAATGTATAATGAAGGATTTGTGAGTTTATCCAGAAGAGGCATGTTTTCTAGGTCGAGAAATTCGAATCTATAGCCGGTTTCTTGAAATAATATACTTGCTTTCTCGATTTTACAAAAGCTATTTTATGACATTTGATCGAGAACCTGATTATAGATTCAGATTCATCGATCTCAAACGCCTCTGATCAAACGTTCTAAAAACTCGTGATGCTCTTCCAATAGATATCACTTGTTGGAAATATTAAATAGCGTAACGGTAAGTTTTTCACTTATTCTAATGGCCAGAATCCTTAGGAATCGATAGAATCATAAGATCAGCTTCCTTCCCTCTCTTGGACAGGACACAAGACAAATTATTGAGAACGTTGATTTTCATTAGGTGAAAAGTTTTTGTTTTTATAGAAATTGTAGAAGTTCGATCTTATACACTGATAAGTAATAATTGAAGCAAATTAAGAACAATGACTCAGAGACGAGATAGTTTATTAAAGAAATTTATGAATATTACTTGTTTATTTATTTGAACACAGTGTTCATGTCTTATCATATGTATGTTAACTTAACATGTACGTGAGAAGAACACAATGTAACGCATATGTCTTCAATGAAGAGAAAGGTGGTAAAATTTTGTTTGTTTGTAACAAAAGTTTCTTGTTTTTTCTTGTGGACATTTTAGATCTATTGAAATAAGAGTTAATATTCAAACAATTATATTTTCTAAAGTACCTATTCTAGCATAGATATTTTCACTATTTGTCCCTGTCGTTCATTTAGTGGTAATTAATTATATAGTAGGTTTTATGTTTGATCCTCATATTTATTTTTAAAACAAAAATACCAATTACATGTTTAAATATAGACTTATTTTCTCGAATAAGAATCTGTTAATCTTTTTGAAATATCAATGTAAGTACAAACCTAACTAACTGATAAAAGCTAACCCAGCTACTAGTTTCTTTTTATTTTTGTGTAGGAAAAAATCTTGAATAATTAGCTTTTAATAAGATTAATTGAAACCGAATACAGGTGTTCTCACTGAAAAAAAAACCAAAAAAAAAATAATCTAATGATTAATATTCGAAAACATTTAAAAGTAAAAGCAAATTTTCATCTGATAATCGTTTTTCTCCGAACTTTTATTGGTCAAATGAGTTTTTCTCTCGTCAATAAATATTTAAAAAGTTATACACATTAAGAAAACTATTGTGAGTAATATTTAAAATACAACTCCGATTAGTATGAGAACATCCTATTAATCAAAATAATAGTAAGATGTTTGTTTGTTTCAATTTTTTACTTTTATCATTGAGTGAACTAGAAAAATACACTAAAATGACATATAGATTTTCGTATACATATATATATGGGTTAGAAAAGCGTATAATAAAGTTGATGACATGGAATTTTACCTTTAGTTTTTTTTTGTTTATCAATAGTGATCTAATAAAGCGAATTTTAAATGATTAAAATGATGCTAAAAATAATATCATGTGTATTAGTTTGATTGTATAATATGTTTTTCTTAGATAGAATATAAACTTGATTTCACTAGAATATATAATAATATACTCATTATTTAACTCGTAATATGGCCAAAGTGACAACTAGTAGAAATATATTTTTAGCATAATTTGTATTTATTCAAGGAAGCGTCAAATTATATGAAAAAAACATTAAAATGTCAGATACGCATTGTGTTTTTTATAGAACAGTTAACCAACTATGTCATTGAAGCAAATCTTTCCACCTAAAATAGAATAAATAGAAAAAAAAGTTTCTTAATAAATGCTCTGTAATATTTATCTATAAATAAAGCATACATAATATAATTAGAAAATTATAACTAACCTCAGTTTTAGTCACATTATGATTATTAATTATGAATTCGGATGTAAACATTGCAGGCAAAGTTTTATTGTCTAACAATTATTTCTTTTATTAAATGCCTTTAGGTTCGAGAGATATATAATTCTTTATGATAGACAAAGAATATGTAATGTTATTTTTTAAGGGCATTTTCTATAATTTCAATCCAACCATTAGATTCTTCATCGTGTTTCCCTAGGTCTAACATAAAGATATATCCAATCAGCTGTTTTATATTTCTCAATTATTGTTTGCATTATTAAGAATATATACAAATAGCTTGACATGAATTTTTCTTAGTCAAATCATAAATTCATATAATACATATTTATAAGTGAGTCATTTTAAAATGTATATTTAAAAACATTTTTTTTTGCACAATAAAAAAAAAACATAAAGAAACAAAGAAGAAAAAGAAACAGCAGCTAGCTAACCCAATCCCGAAGCTTTCAAATTTTCATCAATTAAAATATTGTTAGCAACACCATAAATATAAACTAGTTGTCCTTGATATTGTTGTCGATCTACAGCTTTACAAACAGCATATCGTCTATAATTAAAACCGCGTGAACATCTTAAAAAATTATTCCATATTATTTGATCGAATTCTTTATCGCCTTCAGTATTCAATTCATCATCAATATTAATATTAATCTTATCTTCGTCATCTTCAATATCTTTTGATAAAACCGGATCACAATCATAAGCTTTTTTCTGTGAATTCCGACGACTATGAGTTGTTCTTTTCTCACGTACTAAAGCATCATAACCGCCATCAGGTAAAAGAGCTTTTGTTAAAACACTACGAATATTTTTAGTTAGTTCAAACCATTCTTGTGAATCTTCTTCATGAAGTAGTTCATGATCAGATTTTGGTTTATAACGTCGATCATGTTTTAAACGTGCTTTCATACGTGCAAAAAGTTTTACTAAAGAAAATGATCCAGCATCATAATCATCATCGTTACTACTATAATATATTGTTGGTGGTACACGACTCATGATTGAATAATTTTCTGTATGATAATTATTATTAACATCATTTAATGATGAACGAGATTTTGATAAATGAAATGAACGTTCATAATTTATTGGATGATTTTCTGTTGCCCATGAATATTGTCGTGAAAAAATTGATTGATTTGTTTGTTGATGACGATGTTGTTGTTGGTGTTGCATTGTATCCAAAACACTTGTCGTTGGTGAATGACGTAAAACACCACAATGTTTTGTAAGATAAAGATAATTTTCAATAAGATTATCTTCTGTTTCATCAATTTCTTCATCATATTCATTTATATGATTTTGACAATTTTCATCACGATTATGACCGTGTCGATTTACTCTTGTTCGTACTGCCATAGAAATAATAATGACTATTCTCAAGATTATTTAAAAAAAAAAAAATTTTATCTTTATCGTCGTTGTCGTCTTTAACAATAATATAAATGCTGTCAGTTCAATGTTGTGGATGTCGTACTGTTCCTAATATATATTTTGACGGCACAATTTGAGCATAGGTAAAAACACAACTTTCTATAATATTTTTAACAGCGATGACGATGCAACAGAATAATAAAGAAATCTTAGTGATGAGGACAGAAAAGAGAAAGACATTTCAGTAATATACGACATTGTTGTTGGTCTCGTTCAAAACTTAGAATTGCATTAAGAAACAGTCATCTTCTCACTAAGTTTATTCTGTCTATCTTTTTTTTTCCCTTTTTTTTTCCTCTTTTTTGCTGTTTATAATTGCAACGCATTGAAATTAACAAAACGGATAGAAGTGCCTCGTGTAGATTTCTTTTGAATATAATAAATAATGACACTACAGGAGTTAGCTAAAAATACTCTTCCGTCAAGGTTTTTTGATGCATGTCAATTGTAGCAGATAATCAGATATATTTTTTTTTTAAGTGAAAAGCTTAGTTGTTTTTTTTTCTTAATGTAAACACATTCCATAAGCTCCAATGCGTTTATCTATGAATAAATAACCTATATTCATTACAGTTGTATGCTTGATTGAGTAAAAATATATAATCAAAACAAACATTGCTGATGCATAGTTGTGATGACAATTTTTTTTTATTCAACTATATTTATGTTTCTAAGAAAATTGTTTATAGAAATTAACAAAGAGAAAAATGGAATAATTTGACAAGTAGATATAGTAGAAACTGACAGAAGAAAATAGTTGTATGCATATTCATGAAGTTAACAATGCATATCATGTCATTTACTACTATAAAATAGAAATGAAACGGAAATTTTTTTTTTCTTTAATATAATTTGTTTGTTTTGAAAATTACTGATGCTTATTCTATGAGATAATCCTGAAAATTGTTGAATATTGATGATGACATGGAGTTTGTTAATTACAGATGATAGCTAAAAACGGCATTATGACATATAAATAAAACAATATAATATAACATTTTATTTTACTTGAGATTCTAGGACTTTTGAGTAAATCATAAAATCCGTATATTTCTAAAGGCAATGAAATATTGTATTATCTCCTAATATTTATTCTCAATTCAATATTTAAATGTTAATTTTTTTATTAAAACAATATTGTTTCATGTATAAACGTTGGAATTGCAGTTATGTAATAAATTCAAACTGAAGATCGTGTTAACTTTTTCCAATCCTCATTAAAAACAAAATAAGACATGTCTTACAATCGATTGTTTCAGCTTCAAACATCAAAAGTTATTAATTCTATTACATAAGAAAAATGTCACCAGTTTTGTAATGTTAAACGCTTCTATTTATTTTTTCTTTTGAGAAGGTGTCATGCAAAGATCTGATAAAAAATTCATATTCACTTCATACAATTTCTTTTAGTTTCATTAAAAAAAAAAAGACTCGTTTTAAGAATCGTACTTTGTTTGACCTAGTGTTGGATGTTATTTCTTGTAAAATTGTACCTAACATAGCCAGACTATTCTCGGGTTCCATCCAAATAAATAATATCAAATATGCTATTCCTTTAAAAACGGAAATTAATGCATAACTATGAATGTATCATATGAAATTAAAGGAAATGAAAATAATTGGAATCAAATTGGACTCTATGCAAATTTTCTGTACTCAAATAAAAAAAAACAAGCTCGGCAGATAATGACCTAGTGAACTTTAACATGCCCAATCAATAGTTCGTAAGTTTAATGAAATCAACAAAACCAAAAATTAAATGATTCTTCTTTATATATGATAAGCAAAGTCACAGATGATATTTGATTCGTTACTACGGTGCACCTCAATTGAATTTCTCTCCATTGTATTTTCTTACTTTAGTTTATCATAGTTTGCTTTTTTCTCGATAATGGATATATATGGAGAAAGTGCAGACATCACTACATTACATGATATATGAATCATAAATAACAAGTAGAAACCAAAACAACAAAAAAAAATACGTCAGAAGAAAAAGATAGTATTGTTTTTCACTACAATATATATTTCATTTGTATTATATGAAAATATTTATTTATATGAAGATTTGGTCATAGTATGCATCAGTTTCATAGATAAGAGCACTTCAATCGGTTTCCATTACTCTTTCATAGTAATTTACAGTTTTTTAAAAACATTCGTAGATTCTCAAAAGAGATTCTTTTTAAATGAATACTAAACTATTTAATAAGTCTTCATAGCTATTCAAGCGATAGTCTACAAAAATGAACTTATGCATATTCAAACAATAATTAAACTTATGTCTATCAATTTGTATAAAAACGATGGATAAATACAAATTCTTATTACTCTTATTGAAGATTGTAATGAAAAAAAAAAAGATAACATCTCTTTTCTCTAATGCATTTTTTGTTTTTCGATCTCTATGTGTTAATTGTAATTAATATATCATGCCATATAGTGAAGTCTCTACTTTCTCGCTATAGAATCCTTATTGAAAAACGAAGCAAGCTATAATAGTTTGAAGAAGGTCATATAAAGGAGAGAAATTCAATTGAGATGAACTATATCTAACTAACACATTACTTTTCATTCATCGTAAAGAGTTTTGTTTACATAGCTGGCATGTGGTTTATGATATGTCTGATGAATGGAAACAATTATATTTTTACAAAAAAAAAAACTCTACGCCTCAACAGTTTTTAAAGTGATGTTCTCTCTAATAGTTCTATGACATTTTTGTCTATCGTGTGAGTGTGAGGGTTCTTTTTCTCTTTACTAGATCCTGTCAGGTTGGTCCTGGATCCAAAAATTTTGAACTCGACAAGTTTTACTGTTTGCCCGTACCATCCACTAATGAACAAGCGGAATAAAATGCACCAATTCAAAATCTTATTGCTGTACCTAAAAAGTTGATCCCACGTTGCTCATGATATCCTATGAAATTGTGTATGTTAAGATAAGATATTTATCAGATACCTAATGAATTACTTGGTCAAAGCATGTTCAGTAAAAAGGATACTTGAAGTTACTATCAAGATATTGAGCAGGATTTTACACATTGTATTATGCAGTATCTATTAAATGAAATTTTAGATATGTCGACAAACAAACCATACTTTTTGACTTTGTCTTATCTTTGCAGATCCATCATTGTAAAGGACCAGAAGAATTCAAACTGCTAGCTATTCATAATACAAAATTTCTAGGCAGATATGCAGAATGCAAAAACAATTTAGCCAGAGTAATCGACCTGCCCCCTGTAATCGTATGGTTTGTTCTTTTATGAAAACACAATCCAAAGTCATGCATTCTTTGATATAGATAAAGCTTATTGAACATATTTCAATATTTTTGAACTTTGTCTTTCCTCTTTTCAAGACTTTCATGTATCAGGTACATTATCATTTCAATGATTGAATAGACATACAATAAATATCTAAATAAACAATCAAGTTCGAAGACAACAAAAATAGGATTAAGAACTTGTTTATTTTCATATTGAAAAAGGAATACAGGCAAATAATACTACTAGATTTAGGTTAAGTTTTATAAAAGTAAGATGTTTACAAGAAAATTAAATTTTAAACAAGTAATCCATCTTTAACTTTTGTTGCTTCATCTTTGCCTTTAAGAAGTTCAATTAATTTCAATGCGAAAACCATGGTTGTACCAGGTCCTTGACTTGTAACTAAATGATATTCTTTTTTTTCGCCACCTTAACAAACAAAATCCATCAAAACATACATTAATTAAAATGATTAATATTTACTTTCTTCTGTATGTTTACTATGACAAACAAGATGATCAGGTGCTTCAAGTTTATATGGTTCACCATCAGTAAATTCTTTGCGTACAGTTGGATAACATGTTATTGTATGTTTATGATCAACACCAATTTTATGAGATAATAATGCTCGTGGTCCAGCACAAATAGCAGCAACAATTTTTCCATCTTGATAATGTTTCGTTAAAATTTGTCCAACTTCAGCATTAGCAGCTATGGCTTTTGATCCTATTTTTAAAATGGAAAAAAAAAGAAAACCTATTAAAAAATAATCTCATTTTTTATAAATAGTTTCAATTTATTTAATAGTTTCAATTTATTTAATAGTTTCAATTCATTTAATAGTTTCAATTCATGTAATAGTATCAAATGAATATCATTAATTTTTTTTGTATACTAGTTCAATAAATATATACTAACCATCATTGCCACCAGGAATAACAACACAATCGTATTGATTATTTTTTACTTCATCCAATGATTTATCAGGTACAACACGAACATTACGGCTACATTTTACAGCATCATGACCATTTTTTTCAATTGATGCAACATCAACTTCGATTTCAGCTCTTCGAAGTACTGAAAAAAAAAAATAGTTCAACAAAAAAAAGCGAATTTGAAAAATAAAAACAAATATACCATCAATTGTTGTTACTGCTTCAATTTCTTCACTTCCATTAGCAATAAAAACAAGCACTTTCTTAGTCATCTGAAAATAAAGTTTATTATTGAATTTTCTTAAAAATATATAATACATATGTAGATTTTTAAAAACAAGTTGTTCCTTGCAAAGTCTTTACATTTGATACATATGATTGTGATGTAAACAAGAATAAATTAGTTAGTGAAACAGTATTGTAATGTTGTTGTTGAAGAGAATAGTGAGTGTAGCTTTTAAATTGAAGTTTTGTGGGTTTCTCCAAAAGTGTTGAACAACATTTGTAACAAGGCATGGAAGGTTTTCGAACATTCCAAAACTTTTTTTGTTATTTTAAATTGACTGAAAGACATTTTTTAGTATTTTAAATAACGCAATTTCAGATTTTTGCGCAGATAACCTATCCCATAATAGATATCAAGGATGATGTTTTGATTTCCCACCATTGTTATACGACTAACAAAAAAGGATGAACTGATTAAGTTCTAACTTTTGGGAATAATCATTTTTGAGCTCACCAAGATATATAGTAAATCGTTAAGATCTGTTGTAGATATGATGGATGTGTACATCAGGCTTATTTATTCATCTGATCAATAATTAGATTAATAATCAATTAATTGTTAGAAAAGAGCTATCATCGTTTAGAAATTTTACACTTTGTACATTTTTTATTAGTATGATAAAACTAGAGAAGACATGTGAGTTTCATATTTCAGCGTCAGAAGGACTTCGATAACAGGCTTTTTAAAAGTGGACTTAAGGCCCCCTTCAAAAATCGATCTCAGCCCAGAAACGTTCAAATGGGCTGAAATTTGGAGCATATGTTGGGGCTGATGTGAGGAGGCTATGGTAAAATTTTCAGCTCGATACACTGAAGTTTAACAGAGATATGAACCAAACAAGAGTCAAAAAATAGTTCATTTTCGTTCCAAAATTTCTCGGTTCGGGCTCGGTCAATATATTTAAATATTTTTTTGTTGGAAAGAGCGTCTCAGGATGCAGGGCACTACAGAGTCTTTTTTTTTAAATTCATACTTTTTTAGCGGAAAAAGGGGATCACAAGTTCAATGACTAAAAAAACGCGCCAAAAATTGATGTTTGTGTTGGTATACATGGTAAAAAACAAAGCTTAATTAAAAAAAGGACTCTGTAGTGCCCTGCATCTCGACGCGCTCTTTCAAACAAAAAAAAAGTTTAAATATGTTGACCGAGCCCGAACCGAGAAATCTTGGAACGAAAACCAAAAAACCATAAACCGAAAAAAAAAAGAAAAACATTTTTGGATATTTCAAAAAACCACTGGTTTTTCAAAAACTGGTTCTCTGAAATTCTGAAATATTTCGGGAAAAAATGGAGGTTTCAGGAAAAATTTTTATTGATTTTGAAAGAGCAGACGACGGGCTATTTTCCTATGTATTTATCTCAATTTTGACAGTTCTCACGAAAATTGACTTTTTATGAGGGGGGCCTTAAGATAATGTAGATAATCCTGCCCTCTCCTCCCACAGAATAACACGTCATAGTTTTTTTCTATGAATATTCACATCAACAATGTTCAAAAATTGAGAAATAGAAATCTCTAAGTTATAAAGAAATTCTTGAATCTATGTGAAATAACCATTAGATCTTTTACAGTTCCACCATTCATTTTCACAAATTTCTTAACCGATATAAATGTGAGAGCAACAAACATAGTAGATATTGTGTGTTTCTTTTATTTCAGCAATCATGGAACTGCAAAGAAATGTCTATTTCTTAGTTTTTGAACAACTCTTGATAGAATAGTGAGCAGAAATTATCTTTTTTTTAAATATATAATAAAATTAACAGATTCACTAATATTAATTTATAATTGTATGCATTTGAGACTTTGTATCATTTTTAGTTAACTCACTATTCATTTTCTTCGCGATTACATAAATCAATTAACTATAAAATAGATGCAATTTTCATAGAACATTAATCGTTCATTCAACAACGCTTAAGGCTTTCTTCATCAAGTACATTGATAACTAGTATTTTGTTAGTGATCCCTTTAAAGTTGTCTTAGAGAGGTTCTTCGAAATAAATCAACGCTAAAATAGATTTCAATGTTTCGATTCACAGTAACTCAGCTATTGTTTTGCTTATCAACAAAAATTAACTTTATACGAAAAAAGATTGTCACTTTTTCGAAGAATTTTTCACATGAGTCATTTAGTAAGTCTCGTTCTAGTAGATGAATCCATTGATTCTAAAGTTAGGTCATGTCCAAACAATGAATTCACGTTAATGAGAATCCGCCAGAAGCCTAAACAATATCTATTACTAATAAAAGACATTCAACAATAAAAAACCATCGTTTTTTTTTTGACGCTTCAACGTTCTATATGCTTCTAGAGACGTAAAGCAACATAGTCGATGTATTGCTATACTAACTCATCAATTCCCTAGGAACATCCAAAGAATTTCTAATTTTTCGATGAATCCCCAGAGATTTTCATTAGAAAATGTGAATTAAGATTGTCTATGCAAAGGATTGTCTTCGATGAGAAAAATTTTTATTTATCATTAAAGTATTCCTTTTAATGACTATCACCAATAATATTCGATTGAACTGGAGATTTATTGACGAAATTACAGATTTCTATGGGACACAGTTTGTGGTCCAGGCTAGCTAAAGAGCCTTATAGATTGCGATAGACGTGGTTCATATATGATCCTAGGCCGTATATTATGAATAATGTCTCGTAATTATATACGAGCTACTTGCGTGTTGCATTTCTAGAGGATTAAGTAAAAGGATACTGAAAAAATGTGTCCTAAAATAGACAGAATAAAACAATCTTCCTGTGATTAGCAAGAGTAGCTACATCGTGTTTCATAATTTAATCCTGCAGAGATTGCATCAACAGCTTTATTTTTTTATTTCAGTTTCGTAAATATTTTGTTTACGTCTCGGCTAAGCAACTTATTCATGAAAGAAATGACAATTTGTCAATTGTCATCTGCATAAGTAAAATGGTATTATTTTGTAGAATCGAAATAGAATTAACACTATGTCTGTCAACTGATCCAATCGATTTAGAAGAACGATGAACGACTTATAGAAAATGCTCTTCTTTCGTTTTCTTACCATTCTAGAATCAATTAACTATTTTTTAATTGTCATCTAGTTGAACAAACAGCTTAGACCATTGATTGGCATCTATCTTACTACCACGGACAAAATTAACGCAACACATATTTTTGATAGATATTTTCATTAATGGTCAACCACGAAAAATACAAGTTTTTCAGAAATTTTTTTCGTTTATAGAACTTTGTAGAGATTGTTTCGCTGATCATTTTGGCCAAAAAAAATATTCAAATTTACTCAATAAATAATGATATTAGAGTCAAAATACTAAAAACTTAAGACTGTTCGTGACCATTGCTGACGTGAGTAGTAGGTGATATTTTTGAGTATTTTGAGCCAAGGTTCGTTATTTATCGAGTAAGTTTGAAAATTTTTTTTTACCAAAATGATCAGCGAAACGAGCTCTACAAAGTTCTATAGACGAAAAAAATTTCTCAAAAACTTATATTTTTCGTGGTCGACCGTTGATGAAAATATCTATCAAAAATACGTGTTGCATTAATTTTGTCTATGGTAGTTAGTTCTATCATGGTTTTGTGACTAATTCACAACGATGGAGTTGGTTCGTAAAAAATCTTTTTTTCAAAACAATAATAAATTAATAAATCAAAATTATCTTTAATTAACTTTCGATTTACATACATTATAACCTTCTTTTAATTTTTCTTTTTGACATTCTAGATAATCTGTAACCATTGTAATTTTTTATAGGAATTGCATGAGTTTGAAAAAAACATGTAGATAGGCCAAAAAAAACTTTTTTAATTGTCTTTGGATTTATTATCACCATCTGAATTGATAACAACATCATATTTCTCATCCGTTAATATTTCTTTTGTAGATATATTTGATACAATGACAGTATCGTAAGTGCATTGTAATGCTTCACGGTTTCTTTCAATGGAATTAATGACTACTTGAATACCAGCACATACGAAGAATCTTTTAAGAAAAAAACAATAGATGAATTCAATTAAGTCTTTCCTTACATCGACTATAATAAAGCAGCTTTATTTTCTTCACTATTATTTACTAAAAAAATAAAATAAAGCTTTCTTACAACTAAACATGATTTTCTTTTCGATGAAGATTAACCCTCGACGATAATAACTACAAGCAAGAAATAACAACAACAACAAAAACGAATGAATCATCCTATCAACCAATAGTAAAAACGTACTATCAGCACCACCTTTGACTATCTATACAATGCTGTTTTACTATAATCAGTATTCACTTAATAAGCAAATACAACTTGAATCAATAGTAGTAAAACCATATAAAACTCAATTCATATATGTAGTGTTTTTTTCCTTAAATCTTTCTTCTAATTCTACACATATTATGGTCTGTACAATGACTACTGGTGCATGAGATAAGTTATCTAAATCAGTACATCAATGCTTGATATACTGAAGAATGTTAAAGTGATATTTTTCTTATCGTCAAGAATCTATCTAAATAAAAATACTTGTATTATGTATATATTACACTGAACAGCAAACAATTATATTATATCGAATCTTCAACTTTTGTATGCATTTCATTCTATATCGCAATATGTCACATTTGTGTCCGTTGATGAGTAGTATAACTTGCTAATGTCTTTTATTATATTCTATTAATAGTACAACAAAAAAAATAAAATAAAAGAATAAAATAGATGGAATAAAATTTCATGTTGCACAGACAAACGAAAATAGCTTAAATGTATTTATATCTGAGAATAAATTGTTGTAGACATTCAAAAATTTTCTTTCTTTTTCTAAATGGCTTCTTTATGTGCTTCAGCTTTTGCTTGATGAACTTTTTCTTCAGTCTTGTCACCAATAGCTGAACAAGCAGCTTCAACACGTTCACCAACTGTATTATCCGAATCTTTGACTTTTTCTTTATTCGTTTCGAATGATACAACACTTGTTGCCTCTAAAATTAAAAAAAATTCTTAATTAATATATCCAGAAGAAGAGACTAAAATTTTTGTATACAAACCATGAACTTTTTCCGCAACATAATGATATGCATTAGATATTGTATCACCAATATGACTAATTACACCTCGTTCTTCAGCAGATTCTTTCTTAGTTTCATTACTTTTATCTTCGACTGAAACAATAAAAAATTTAATATTAATCTTTTTTTTTAAACGATGATCGAAAGCTCATGATATCTTTATTAAACAACAACGTCAAGGCTATGAGTAAAATGGCTACCTATTGAGAGGTTATTAGTCTTAGTTGCTTCTTTATTTGCTTCATGTGAAGCACCACTTGTTACACCTAGAAATAGAAAAAAGATTGCAATAAAATTATCTAATGTATTATTTTCATTTATTACCTTTCACTTTTTCTGCAATAGCATGAGCGGCGTCTTTAACGTTTTGCATTATTACTTATTCGCCTTGTAACGATAGTTGTAAGAAAAGGAAGGGAAGATCGACGATAGTTTTTTTTATTTGTAAAAATGAGGAGTATTGTAGGATTCTAGACCCATATATATATCTACCCTCTTTTCGCTCTTTTTTCTATGAAAAAGACGAGGAAACAAACGGGAAACAATGAAGACAAACCGGAAGAAGAAGAAAAATAGAGGAAATAGTCAACGAAAAAGACGTAATGAGTACATGAGGTACGACGTTAGAATGTGCATTCTCTGTGATGACATGAAACTAGCAGAACGATTGAAAGAAATAGAAAGCAATCTCACTTAGACGTCTATTACAAGTTAGAATCGTCTTGACACAATAGGTATTATTTTGATTTCTAACGGCATCTATGTTATTTAATGCGTACTTTCAAATTTTTTTTTGCTAACGAACATATATACCTGTCAAATTGGTTTTGAAATGAGTTGATTGAAATGAGAAGAAAGAGATATATCCAGAAGTTTAGTCTATTTTGTACTGTCTCAAAATACTGGCATTCTATAATGAAATCGCAATCAATTATTCTTTCTTGCTTGAATGAGAGAGACTGACATTACACATTGCTTTAGTTATACCTAGTGGTAAGTTAATCGATACACAATAGATAGATATAAATAATATCGTGTTCAAATCTCACTTAGATTAGCTAGAAGTCTTGGTATTGGCAAATAACATGGCACAAAACAGCATTATTATAATCAGCATGAATGATTGTATGAATGTTTATGCTTAACAGATTAAGTAGCATATGAAAATGTTCATGAATACTTGCACATGCTATATCTTTTGATTGGCTTTCCTCATCCCCTTCTTTATGTTTTGGTTCCATATCTTGAAGTTTGATTGCCGAATAATTTTGATTTAATTAGAGCTCGAGCAATTTTTCTTGCTTCATAGTATTTGACGAGTAAATAGTGCTAAATTGAGATTGAATGCAAAGTTATATATTGATCTTTTTATAAGAAATTAATCAAATTTTTAATGATTTTTTACCTAATCACCTATTTTTTTCTCTTCGACGCTCGTATACTCAATATTAATAAAAAATGAATTTAAAATGCTTCTAGAATCATCTTGATAGGACTGCTGATTAAATAAATTCTCTAAATTTCATCGACAAAAATATTCAATTTATTTGTCAAGGATTTAATAAGAAATATTATTTTATTTTGATGTCATACTATAAATAATTCAATAGAAACCAAATAATGATTTATGCATTTTTATTTCAAATTATTCATACAAGCAATATTGTTGTATCGTTATTAGTTATTCTTTTCAGCTTTATTTTTGTAACATACGGTAACAATTGTCATTAAATCAGAATTGACTGTCATATTTTGATTGTAGGAGTATCACATAGCAATTCAGGCTGATCTAGTAGCAAAAGTCTTTATGATCATCTAGGTGTATTATTTTTTTCACTGTTTATTAGATACAATCATGACTCATTTTTAGGTGACTATTATAGTGAATGCGTAAATTTTATTAAGTATTATTGACATCTGTTGAAGTTCATAGTTTCTGTATTGAATAAAACAGAATTTGCACGTATGATAGACGTACGACAAGTCCATGGGGACAAACAAATAAAAGTAGATTGAGAAATATTTCAGTCATTGATTTTACAAATATTCATGTAGGCTTGTGAAGCCAATATTACATCTAGTACAGCGATTGCAACTTTTCTCAATGATAAATATTCAGGTCATGATGCCATTTATATTAATCAAGACAGTTGTGGCATTCGAGTTTGAGATCAAGTAAAATTTGTTAAATAATGAAATATTTAATATACATAAAATTATTTTAGTGGGTTGGCCATAATGAAAAGGATCATGTGACATCATACAGAATTTCAATAATCTCGTTGTCTCATATTTAATCTCAGCGTAAGAAGTTCGATTTTTGCAACAATCAAAATTGTTTATCATGCATCAATGCCTGATTGATCGTAGTCATTCAATGGCATTTCTATATATTTTAAACACATATTAGATTGAATTGACTGTATAACATTTAGGAAATTCAAGTATGAGTTTCGTTAATTATCTCAAAGTTGCATGTAATAGTATTAATATATGTAAGAACTATATAGTAATAAAATCAAATATCTAGTAATGAGAAATATTTTCCAATTGATAAATTGCTCTTGAACCGAGGCTATATGCATTATGTAGAACCAAATAAGCTATAAATACTGAGAAAAGAATTCGTGCCCTTAGCATATTGTTGCTGAGATATGGAATTTTTAGAGTAGGTTTTTAAATGAATGTCATAGATCCCCTCCTCAGAAACATCAGCAAAACTGATTTTCGAATTTCGACTTGATTTAACAAAAGGATTTTATTGTGAATAAGTTAAGGGCACAAATTCTTTTCAAGATATTCAAATTAAAAAAAAACTATCGAATTACAATGATGCTTGCTTTCATACATAAAACGTGGTAATTACTAAAATATCTTAGTAGGTTCTATAAAATATAGAAAACACCAGACGAAAGTATAGTAGGGACATTCACTATCATTTTCTCTTTCTATATTATCAAAGAACAGCAACAATTGCCAAAACATACTCTTAAAACAAGGCACGAACATATGTCAGATGTCGTCTTCAGCGACATCTTTTTACAAGACCCATATTATTGACATAGGAGGACATGAGCTTGACAACATGGCATTCTTTCGTTCATTTATAGACAAAATCTCTGTCGTTTAATAATCTCTCAACATCTTTCATTTCCATTCCAATGGTAAGCGATCTTCTATTGTATTTAATTATAATCATATGTCTATATGTATTTGTATGTAGGCCACAACAACAACTCAAATGAAGCGTCCAGCACTTGGTGGTGGTGCAAAAAAACGACCAACAGGTTCTCGACCTGAATTAACTGAAGAACAAAAAACAGAAATTCGTGAAGCTTTTGATCTCTTTGATGCTGATGGTTCAGGAACAATTGATGTTAAAGAACTTAAAGTTAGTAAAATAAAATTCATTAATTTATTCTATTATCATATAAAAATTTATTTCAGGTCGCAATGCGAGCATTAGGTTTTGAACCAAAAAAAGAAGAAATTAAAAAGATGATATCTGATATTCAAAAAGAAAATGCTGGTAAATGTAACATAAATATTTTTCTAAATACAAAAATATTTTTTCTATATTAAGGTACAATTGATTTTAATGATTTTCTTCAATTAATGTCACAAAAAATGGCTGAAAAAGATTCAAAAGAAGAAATACTCAAAGCTTTTCGGTAACAAAACAAAAAAAAAAAATTAAATTAAATTAAATTTTCTTTTCCTAGACTTTTTGATGATGATAGTACAGGAAAAATTTCATTTAAAAACTTAAAACGTGTGGCAAAAGAATTAGGTGAAAATTTAACTGATGAAGAATTACAAGTAAATTAATTTTTATTGTATATTTCGATTTGAACTATGCTTTATTTTTTATCTAAAGGAAATGATTGATGAAGCAGATCGTGATGGTGATGGTGAAATAAATGAACAAGAATTTTTACGAATTATGAAAAAAACATCATTATATTAAAACATTCACATTTCTCTTTTGTCTCTCTCTGTACTACGTATACACATTTTTTTCTGTCAGGTATTCATTTTATTCCATTTGAAAGTGTCGAAAACCAAGCATAATAATAATTATTCAAATCTTCCATATGTGTGTGTTTTTTGTATGTTTATGTCAGTATTTTGTGCCTTATACACATATTCATTTATGTTAATGTGGAACATAATGTTTTTCAATCTACGTGCAGACATAATATTGTTTTTTTTCCTCATTTCGTTATTTACCGCATCGGTCACTTTGAATCAATTGATTGCTCGAGTAGAATGATAGTTCAGGTAAGAAGTGAAGATTGATGGTTATTTGAAAAAAAGAGTCGAAAACATACAGACAAATTTTTATTGACGCAAGAATAATGGGTGGTGTAATGAATCGATCATCAATTAGAGAAGATGAAAAATACTTTAGAACACGAAAAGATAAACGAACACAACAACATCAAAATTTCGATATATCATTTGAATCTGATTATGAATACATCTATCGAGATGTTGATTCAATTAACACATATGATTTATGGGATAAAAAATTTGATCAAAAACAAATGACAAAAATAAATGGTAAGATATTGAATTCGACAAAAAATTAACTATTGTTATCATTTGTCTATCGTGGAGTTTCTGTATTTTATGTCGAACATGTTATTTCTTTAATAAAACAGTGACGAGAAATAGTTTATCATCAACATAGATTTTCAATAATTTTATTGATTTGAAGCAAATATTATTCATAATATATGAGTCGTTTCGAAATATGAAGTTACATGTAAAATAAAGCAAAAATTGATCGATACGCATGACAATCGAGAAATTTATAGTAACACAAGAAAAGCCTTGAAATGAATAGAAAACTAAAAATTATCAATTTCGACATAGACACAGAACAAAACCTAACTCTCAATTAATTTTTTGTCTTTTTATCAATTTTATCCTGACTTTTCATCTAAATTCCCTACAAGTTTTTTTTGCATTTTGCAACTGATAACAATCAGAAATCTGTATTATAAAAATATTTTCGAAGTTTAATAGAGCCAATAAGAGAAGCACGAAGCATGTATTCAGTGTGGTGACATTTTTTATCCATACACTAGGTTGATTACACTATCAAATCCATTGAGTGTCATATGTGTCACTGAAGTGGAATAATGTTAATTGTGTACCTGTAGAAGTTGTTAGCGCAATGCTTGTGTAATAAAAAGGTGAAATATGATGTAACTGCTGTTGCTAATCACAGAAAAATTGGATCGTGTTTCATGAATTAGTAACCGATCTGATTTTTTTGACACTCATCAGCAGCTATTTTTCTCGTGAAAGCTTATGGTCATAAATGTTAGTCTTCAAAAAGTTGTAGTACTCACGAATACATTTTGTTCTTTCAGTTTAATAAGTAATTCAACTTTGCTTCTTTGCCGTTTTTTTCAAATATTAGAATTGTTCAGCCTTATTCAACTCGTGACTAACATGATAATCAACTTTTTACAAAGTTCTAATAAATGACTACACTAATTGTGAAATGTCTTCGTGTAAAAATCCTTTAATATTGCCATTCTGAACTAGATCAAACCAACAAAGTGTGGTCCGATTTTGAGACCCAATGAGTAGTTCTTCTAATCTTTATAATGGTACCATATTAAACAAAAATGAATGGTCTACGAGTTTGTAACACTATTGTGAGGATCTTACTGTTATTAAAGCTAATTGCAGTATTCTTTTACTAAAAAAGTAACACCTTAGCTAAGCAATGTCTCAAAAACATTCTCTCATTTCTACTTAATCACTTGTTTCACACAAATTTTAGTACTGAATAATGAACTTTTGAATAGTTTTTTTTTGTATTGCTATAGATTTATCGACCAATGTTCATTGGTCCCATTTATTGAATAGAAATCTGACAGATGATAAAGTCATTTTTGTAGTAAGTGAAACGATTCACATAATATTCTCTCCGATTTCCAAGTTATGACCGTGTTATCATGATGTGTTTCATGACGGTAAGAAAATGTTACCTGTAATGTATCACGGTGCGTAGAGAAGGCAAGATTATCGTTTTTATCATGATATTTCATATGATTTAAATAACGTAATCGTTTTCTTTAACAAGTGTTTGTTGAATGAAACTCATTCTTTTAATTTTTTCAAAATTTTCTTTTTAAATATTTTGTTTAAACAAATCTTAAGCGTTTGTTTCAGTAGAACTACCTGATGTATCCAACATATATTCATCTTATAATTCAATTAATAAAAACGATGTAAGAAATCAAACATGGCAATTTCTTCATGACGCCAATAATTCATTGTATTCGACAGAGTCCCGTCGAATAACACCATCATATAACATTTCATACAATCCTAATGAATATATTCATGCTCAAGTTCCTGACACAATTAAGAATCAATCACAAACTGTCACATTTGATGAACGTTTACCAAAAAGAGGACCATTCGCTTCTTCATCTCAACAACAACAACAACAACAACAACAACAACAGAAAAAATTAGTCTTAACACCTTTAGCTAGTACTCAATCTTGGCATGAATCAAGTATTACAAGTAATAAAATGTCAGTATCAAGAAAACCTATATCATCATCAAATCGATCATCAACTCGTCGATCATTAACAGCTGCACCTAGTAAACCATCAGCACAAGCACCTGTACAGAAAGCTATTTATGTAACTATAGATTATACAGCAACATTAGCAGAACGTGGCCAAACAGTTGCTAATGAATACCACCGTAAAAAAGGTGAACGATATCATTCAGATGGATCCAATTCATCGACAAATAATCATCGAATACGTTCTCGTGTAAATCATCGACATAAACATCAACACTCAACTGATTTATGTAGTTCTAGCATTCATATCCCATCGAGTAAATCACTCGATACTTTTCAAGCAAAATTATCTGGTTCACAACATACAATACCAAAATCTATGTCAACAAATAGATTAGCAAAAAATATTGAACAAATGCCATTTATTAATAATGAAACAAAACAATTCAGATATAGAAGCCATCATCAACAACAATCATTACAAACTAACCAAGTAAAACCATCGAAAAGTCGAGAAAATCATCAACAACATAAACGACAACATCATTCATCTCCTTCAAATGAATTATCTTTCCCTATCGAATCTTCAATACGTCGAATTGATAATAAACATTCAAATAGACAGATGATGCGAATTCCTTTATCTCAACATAATTACTAGCATCAGACAAAACTCTATCATGAATTGTTAGATTTACTAAAGAATTCTTTTTTCATTTATTTTTTATTTATCTAAATAAAACTAGATTGAAAATAATATCAATTAATGTAGTTCAGTTTTTAAAAACGGATCAAAATTGTTTGATAGGTATGTGAATCATTTTTAAAAACTTGACTTATGAAAATCATTTGGAATAGTCATCAAAAACTAGCGTCAAGTAAAAATTGAAAATGATACAATCAGTTTCTTTCTATACATAGATTGCATAGTCAAAATCTGAATCGTTCTTGAACAACAATACATTTACTCACTGTACAATACTATAAAACTAAATCTTGTTTTATTCTGCTTATGTTCAAATGAAAATTATAAATAGAAATTTTTCATTACAAAAATTTATTTTTTCAAAAACAAGTTATTCATTAATATATCATGAAAAAGAAACGAAAGAATCATTTTATTGAATATGAAATAAAAGAATATTCTACTATACGATTTCACAGAGAAAACAAATGCTTTATTTAATAATCGAAACTCATTTTACTGAAATATGACAGAATTCAACTCAAGTCATTAAAGATGAATCTCAATTCCTCGAAATTGACTGGTAATGATACAAAAGGATTAGCGTATCGCGGATACAGGAACAAGGAACTAGTCAGTCGTAAAAATATATTTGTTGTTTTGTTCGATCGACACGTTTTCAAACTAAATTGTCATCCTGCGTTATCATATATATGTTAATGTTCAATAAACTAGATGGAACTGTTTCATGGATTCCATATCATTGATTGCCATTATGATATCAAACATTTGCAATCAAAAAAGTGAAGTGATTTTCAATCAGCATCTTCTCACATTGGCAATGTTTAGTTTTAATAACTTTTCAAATGCTGATCATAGCAGATAATAAACATATTCTCATATGTTTGCAAACCCAATTACAAGATCAATTGTATTCCCTATGATTATCTTCAGCTAGTCCCACAGTATTCTCCTACACGTCCAATATTTCAAAAATAACAGAACTAATGTCCATTTCAGAGATAAATGGCCGTGGATATTTTTCGAATAACTTTTGATAGGAATGAGATAGAGAGCTGTGGTTTTCACCGTTGGAAAGAGCAGATGAAAATGCATCGAACCATATATAGAAAGATTTTTCTAACAACTTTCCTGAAGGTTTTAGTCAAACGCTTTCAAAGAATTGCGTTTTTCTCCTACGTTAAAAAAGTGATTTTTCCATCGAAATATGACAAAAAACCTCCTTTTTTCGACTATTTTGTTCAAAAACTGGGTGGTGAATTGCACTCCAATGGCTAGAATATCGTCTTGGTAGTAGTTAGGAATAGAGCCTTGCCATAGTTTTTTGTAGCTCTTCATTTCGTGGTTCTAGCACACTCCTGAAAGTCAATAAATTAATATTGCAATCATGAGAGCCATGCTGTTTTTCTTGAAGTTTTACGTAAAACCTTCAGGAAAGTCGTTTCGAAAAACCTTTCTATATATGGTTCGATGTATTTTCATCTACTCTTTTCAACGGTGAAAACCGCAGCTCTCTATCTCATTCCTATCAAAAGTTATTCGAAAAATACCCACGGCCATTTATCTCTGAAATGGACATTAGTCCGGTATTTTTATTATCACAAACATTGCATTTTAAATCGAAAGCCTTTATTTTCAATGTCAAACAAAACAAGAAAACTAGATCGCTGACACATTGATCTGATCCTTTCACTTCTCTACTAAATCATCTATCTTAGTGATATTCAAGCTTTGACTAGTCGTTGATTCCGCTCAATCAGTTCCTGCACATGCCGTTGAAGTTCCTCTCCGACTTGATTGAAGAAGAGCGTTAGTGTGGTGAGTGTCTATATGAATAATGCAAATCTGTATATGAGAGAGATGAAGAGAGAATTAGAGTCACTGTGTTGTTTTGTAATCCATCAGCAAGATGTTGTGTTCCTTCATCTCCGATTTTATTGTCGCAGAGATGTAATGTGATGAGTGTCTGCATAAAAAGTGCAAATGGGTAAATGAGAGACGAAGAGAGAATGAGAATCACTCTGTTATTTCGTAATGCATCAGCCATATGTTGTGCTCCTTTATTTCCTATTTGATTGATTCGAAGATATAGTGTAGAGAGTGTCTGTATGGAAAGGTACAGGTGAGTTTATGAGAGAAATAAAGAGAGAACACGAGTCACCGCGTTATTTCGTAGTGCATCAGCGAGATATTGTACTCCTTCATCTCCAATTTGATTGTCGTTGAGTTCTAGTGTGGTAAGTGCCTGTGTGAAAAAGTACAGATGAGTATATGACAAAAATAAAGAGAAAACTAGGGTCACCATGTTATTTCGTAGTACATCAGCCAGATGTTGTACTCCTTTGTTTCCAATTTGATTGCTGCTAAGATTGAGTGTGGTGAGTGTCTGTGTGAAAAGTGCAGACGGTGTTATCGTACGATCAATAATAAAACAAACAAAGGAAAAAAAAACTTATGATTGAATAACTTATAGGAAGGAATAAACAATTTCAATAAGTGCACACAAAAATGAAGTATGTATCGGTACGAGACGGTGAGAGAAGGGTGGGCTGCGTTTATTATATGAAACGTGAAGTTAGATAAAATTGATGAATAAACCGTTTTGAATTTTGTAGATTGGAACACAATGTAAACTCTATGATTGAAGTTATATGATAACTCATGCTCTTCGATAAAAGTGGAGTATCAATATCTTAAGATAATTTAGGGGCTAACTCGAATTCAATGGATGTATCCGAACAAAGCATACACAATGAAGAGAGTTCATTTACAATATCAAGTTAGAAATCATCGTAAATACAACAGGGTTTTATATACAATAAATTATAAGCATGTTCAATTAGTATCGAACTCGTCATGAATTTTTTTGTCAATTGAAGAGCAAGAATCTGTATGCTGAACACCAAGATGTCTTAACAATGAATTAAAATGCCGTACCAAGGGTATTGAATGGGTTCTAAAAAAATTAAGTATTTTTCTTTGCTATACTGTGATTCGCAATGCAACAAAGGAGTTTGTAAAAAAAGAAGGAACGAAGAACACTGGTAAAGAATTTCCGAAAACGCACGAAAAAGAATCATAGATAAGGATAAAGGTCTTTTTATTAGTAATATTACCTTGCTTTTTCGAATTGCATAGTAAGCCACGATTTCCATGTCAGAATCGGTCAATTCCATCTCATCCAACGATAAATGTGCATCATTTTCGTGTTCAGCAATTTTTTGTTCCAGTTTCAGATTTCGATATGTAGGCGGTGCTGCTACGGAGATCGATTGTTTAGACATTAAAACAGAGGATAATAATCTATAAAGTGAATCGGACCAAGAATGAATCAGTAAGCATGTCAAATGCATTTCGTTCTGATCTAGTATCAATAGCTAATGTCTGAACATAAACTGCACATAATCGAAATGAATGATGTCCAAAAAGATTAAAATTCTTTTCACTGTCAGATATCATCTAGGGTTAACAAAAGGGCAGCAACACAAGCGTGAAAAAATATTTCAGATACTTATAATGATGCTTCTCATTGCTCTAAAAACTGTCTGTGTAAAAGTAGAAGTATTACTCCTGCATCTTCTTGTCTAAGGACAACTTTACAGGGAAAAGCTGGAAAAAGAAGACCTAGCACAGATGGACTCGATTTACTGACTACCTGGAGATAGATGACGGAACGAAATGAAATTCCCTCCTCTGTCTCGAAATGAGAATGAGCTTGAATAGCTTTGTCACTGATACATTCAATGTTGAGCAAAGTTTGATCACTATTAACACCAAGAAAGTCTTCAATCATTAACAATTTTTCCGTTCAATAGCTCAATCTTCACCATGTTAAATCTTCATTAAACATCCCACTCAATTTTGTATCAACATCGCGCAAAATGGTGCCTTTAAATGATGATGCCTTGTAAATTTCAGTAAGAAAAGTTTGAGGTAAGAACACCATGATATGAAACATTCTCGATTTTGATTTATTTGTGATTCATTGAGCGTGATACATTTTATTAGCATGAAATAGTCGAGAGTCTTATGTGTGACTTAAAGCGTATTCACTAATTTCACTCGAGCATTATCACAAAAACGTATTTTCTTTCATATAGAACAAGCATCAATAAATAAGGTGCAACAAGAGGAATACTATTTGAAAAAAGCATCCTTTCGTAATCTCATACTTGTATAATGCAAATAATTAACCATGTGTGTTCGGCGTACGTATTCACTTCGATATTAATCAGCTACAAGCCATTCACCTATCTTGCATAAATTGACTACACAGTAGAATAAACATATTCTAGTCAGACTCACCAGTCTTTCTAGCTCATGTCAACTGATGTTCTTTGATGCATGTGCAAATAGACTTTGCTCTGAGATAGTAAAGTTGTTGTTCTCAATGTAACTGTTTCTTATCACAATAGTATGACTTTCATGATGCACACACTACCATCTTTTTTCATGCGAAGGAGAAGTACTCCTGTGCGATCTATCGTCCGATGAATGTTTGCTTTTGTCTTTCTTTTCAACACGTAATGAAAAACTCTTATGAATTCTCTTTCGATGACATGGAAGTTGTAATGCAAAAATTCACGAAGAGTTTCATTCATCAAATCGTCAATGATGGTGTTATTTGTTCGTACCGGTCGTAAAGAAACATAATTTTGTTACATTTTTCATTCGACGACTCGATCGCTAACAAAATCTCTTTTCTTTTTGTTGATAAAGAATGCGATTCATGCATTTCACTGTTAGAATAGTAAACGAATTAAATCTTCATTTATCAATGGAAAAATGCGGCTTTTGATTGTGAACTCGTCTGCCATCAAAATCTACCATTATGGGTGCCCGTCACTGACGATAAGTTCAATAACGACGCCCACATCACACTCTCAGCCATAGCCATAGCCACACCACCCACACCCAAACCCATATCCTCGCACGTACACCTCGAAATAAACTCA